TTGTCGGCGCGCTTTTGTCGGCGCGCTTTAGGGCTAATTAGGCGCTCATTCGTCGCACGGTTTTGTCACCGCGCTTTAGACACCACGGTTTAGTCAGGGGCGTTTTTGTTGTGCGCATATTTGTGGTGGAACTGAATATTCAGGGAAGTGAAAGGATAAACAAATGAAAAGGCCAAAATGGATGTAATAAGAGTATTTGGTATGTTCACTACCTTGAGTTACTTATAAAGTAATAAAGGTAGGATAAAAATCTAATGGATAAATCGAATGAATAATAAAATATATACACATACACATGGATACAAAGGAAAGTTACTGTGAACTTTAACTGCTCCTCCTCTAAGAAAATTAGGCCGCTTTCATTACCATATTTTCAACTCATCTTAGCCAACTATACCATTTTAAAAGAAAATTACTAAGGAAAAAGACAAGAAAATCTCCTTGTCAGACAAATGAAGAATTTGCCTCTGAATATCTATCAGAAAACTCTTAAAATTGATGCTTTTTAACAGCTTTGCAATAATTAAACTCTCAATTCAAAGCAATGGAACATAGAAATACATCACATATAACTTACCAATCTTGCAGTCCCTGTAATATTTTTCAATTGGATAATCTTTTGTGAAGCCAACTCCACCCATCCATTCAATACATTTACTTGTTGTTAGAGTTGCAACCTTTAAGATATACAATAAGCCTGTAATGAGGGGTTTATGAACTGTTTGGTTTCTACTGTTAACCAACCCTCTAATAAATATATTACAAAAGATACAAAACATTCATCAAACAAAGCCATGTTAAACTAATGATGCAGAATTAAAGGGTTCACCGACAAAAGGGCGAACGACAAAACCGCGTGTTCTAAAGCGCTCTGATGAATGAGCTGAATCGCGCCGACAACAGCACGGCGAGAGAAGCGCGCTGTAAACCTAAACCTAACCCTAATGCTAAACCTAGCCCTAAACCTTACCCTAAACCTAACCCTAACCCTAACCCTAACCCTAACCCTTACCTTAACTTAAATCGCCCCTCTGTCGACTGAAATCACCCTTTTGTCTCCGTGCTCTTGTCGGCGCGTTGATGATGTCGTGGTTTTAGCGATGGGGTTTAGTCAGGCACGGTTTTGTCGTTCGCCCTTTTGTCAGGTCACGCAATTAAAGAGCTCTAAAGCTTATGGATCTCGAGTGGAAAACTATGATTCTTTTGACCATAGCAGTTTTTTCTGAAATATAATTTGCTAGAACTTTGATATTCACATGACAAAAAAATTAAATGGGGTGGCTTAAACCAAATCAAACTAAACCTTTGAGCTCATGGCATCCTGTATTTGAATTTTATTTCAGAGATATCGAATCTGTACAGGATTGAATTTACAGTCTTCAATAAGATAAAATTTGTGGTGACAACACATAATTTGTTCGAATTTAATTTCTTACATTAAGAGGGTCTATTAGCCAATGAAAGCCAGTTTGGTGTAGCAGTTAAGGCATGAAGCTAAAAATTGTGAGTTCTAATCTTGCTTTTCACACAAAGCCAGTAGGGTGCCCTTGAACTAGTCATTTTTTTTCAGCCCTAAGAAGGAAGCAATGCAAACCACTTCCCCCCCCCCCCAAAAAAAAAAGTGCCAGAAAAACTGCAGGCCATTTGGTCCAAGACCAAAAATATCTGCAAAAAACCAAAACTCCACTCACAAATCCTTTGGGGCTGGAGCAGCATATACTATAAGCTCTAGTTAGCAAATAAACATACAGTTGCAAGAAAAAGTATGTGAACCCCTTGGGATTACGTGGAGTTTTGCATGAATTGGTCATAAAATGTGCTCTCCATTGTGCAGGTCTGATCTGCAACTACAGGAAACGTTTGGTCGAGGTTATTGCTGCCAAAGGAGGATCAACCAGTTATTAGGTCCAATGGTTCACATACTTTTTCCTCCCTGCACTGTGAATGTTT